CTACTACGACATTAGAAGCATCCTCCTCCGGTTGAGCCAAAGCAAAAAAATCTCCCTTGATTGGCGTCGCCAGGGGCTTGAGCTTGTAATGGTCTTTGCTGTGCTGGCCTTTGTAGGGGTGGCTTGTTTGCATTCGCCTGTCCGGTTGCTTGATTGGTCCTCGGTAGAAACAATATGCATTGATTTTTGAAGTGCCCAAACTTTCCACATGCAAAGCAGTGATGCGGGCCCATGCCTGTCCTCTCTGGTACGCCTCTAGCTCCTTGAGGAGTCTGAAGTCTCTGTCCACCTGCCTGATCTGGGCGATGGTATGGTGCCACTCTCTGCCCTCCACTACTACTAGCACCTGTCCTGATCAGACCTCCCCTCGAGAAGCTCTGTCGCCTTTGAGTGTCTTCGGTGTCTCTCTCCACCAGTACAGCTCTGTCAACCATATCCCCATACTCCTTGATCTTGAGGGCCACCAACTTCTCCCGAATAACAGGCCTTAATCCCTGCTCAAAGCGCTTAGCCCTGCTAGCTTCAATAGATATAAACTCCGTAGCATAACGGGATAGCTCGTCAAACCTCCTCTTGTACTCGGCCACCGTCATACTGCCCTGTCATAGAGTAAGAAAATATGCCTTCATTCTGTCTCTAACTGATTCTTGAAAATACTTGTCTTGGAAGATTTGGTCGAACTCCTCCGAAATGAGTGCATCAGCGTTCCTCCTTCTCTTTACCGAATCCCACCAATGGTCGGCCTCTCCCTCCAATAGATATGTCGCCAAGCCGACCTTAAGGTCATCGGCCACACCCATGCTGTCACAAATCTTCTTCACTCGGCGGATCCATCTATCCGCATCCAAGGAATTGGAGCTTCCTTCGAAAATGGGTGGGCTTTGTCTTAAAAATTCTCAAAGAACAACCATTCTCCGATTCTCATCCCTGTTGCCCGGTACTTGGGCTAGTGGATGAGCTCCCCCATTGTGGTTGTTGTTGTTTCCATTCTGGTTTTGTACCAGAGTGGTAAGCTCCCTTAAGCATTGGTAGATGCCATTCATGGCATCGGGAGATGGTGGTGGTGGGTTTGCTTGGCCACCACGACCTCGTCCACGTCCACGCCTACCGTTCATCCGGCACATCAATTCACAATTTAGTTTCATTGATGTACAAGATATCCTAACTATACTTTTAATCTAAAGCATTAGACATGTGTAGAATTTATATCAACGATTCTATTCCACCTAGCCCAACACTCTAATGGTAATTCATAACCTACAGCTCCCATATAAGACCTAAAGCCTAGGCTCTGATACTAAAACTTTGTAATGGCCCAAAACCCACCCTAGACGACATTACAAACTAAAAATCATTCACATCATGAGAGCAACTAAATAATTCATCCATAAAGAAATTTCATTAATCAAATATATCATTTACAATATCATCTCAAAAGAATAGGCCAACCATGACCACTATATCCAAAAGAATATGCCAAGCTATGGCAATTACATCTCAAAAGAATTACATTTAAACTTAGTAGCGGAATAAACAAAATACTAGACTATACATAATCGTAAATAATTTTCCTAGTCTAGCACAAAAATAACTATAACTCTAGACGTCCACCTTGGGATCCACGAACCCGTCTAGTGGAGCTTCCAAATGTGTCGGTTCCTCAATTCCCAAATCCTCCTCCAGTACATAATCTGAAAAATGTAGTTTGTAAGGGGGTGAACACTAAGCACTGTAGCAACATTCCTCCCAAACTCGAGTAAGGTTTAGAAAAGCATATAAAAATGGTCAGTCACCTTTCACAAATAACATATATGAATTTCGAAAGAAAACTGAGACATTTAAACAGATTTCAAGTTTAAGCAACAGTAATAATTTAATGCATAAGTGAAACCAATATACAACTAATAATTCATTCCACCATAAACCGTTTCTCCCAAGTTCTTGC